TTTCAAAGGTTTATTTTTATTATTTTTAGTTATGTGTTTGGGAGGGTGAAATGTGAACATGAGTGCCCATTGAGGCTAGAGACATCTGGTTGACCTGGAGAGGAGTTTGTCAGCTGCCTGAAATAAGGGTTTGGTACCAAACAGGAGTGCTTTAGAATATACACTCTTAACCACTGTGCTACTTCTGTAGGCTGCTAAAGATGTTTTAAGTTGTGTTCCTTCATACATGGGAATCTTAAAGGTAATTTTAATATACCACATTCAATCATGAAACTGATGTTTGTTTTAGAATATAAATTTTTAGTGCATTTGGCCATAGATCAATCAAACATACCCCCAGCCCTCCAAAGAAAGGACTCATGCTACCATTCTTGTTAACATAAAGAAAATAGAGCATATGGAAACAGTCCACACATGCACATCACTTGGTTGTTTTTGTTTTGTTTTAATATTTTGAGACAAAGTCTCTCTAAATATCCCTGGCTTTCCTGGTATTCATTGTGTAGACCAGGCTGGCCTTACCACACCCAGCTTTCTTTTGAATTTTAAAACGAAGAGTAGAAATTATGTGTTTTGTTAGGATTTGTGTCAGATAGGCTCACAAATTCATATCCAATATTTTACCTCTTTTTGTAATATTTTCAATGTGTTGCATGTAGAGAAAATGAGTTCATAGTGAGAGAAAGACACATGAAGGAAAAAATGCTCAACACAGTGTGAAGACAGTATTCATCTTGGACGAAACTGGTTCACCACCACCAGCTGCTATGTCTGCAGCAGACATTCCCTCATTTCCTGTATTTCAGCCCTTTCATTTCAGTTAACAAACAGCCAAAGAATTGCACAACTTCATGCAAGTTTCATTCTATTCTGTTGCCCCCTGTGGTGGCCTTCTGAAGTTGAGACCTGAGTCCATTGACCGCTCGCGGGAGCCACAAAGAACGGCACCCTTTCCTCTGAGACAGATTTTGGTGCAGAGACGGATGGGAGGGTGGGGTTCTGTTTTCCAGGCTGCAGTGCTGATGCCAGCCATTTGAAAAGGCACAGGAGAACAGCCTGGGGGAAGGACCAGGAGGGCATGGGAGTCCAGCGTGTGTTCAGCCAGCTGGACTTCTCCTCAGGCCCAAAGACTCAAGAAGAAGAAAGGAAACTACTGGGAAAACACTTGCAGAAGAGAAGCTGCTGAGAATGGCATGTCAGAGCATTCAGTCTCCAAACTAGAACCTCTCATTTAAGATGAAAGAGTGCAGGCCTGGACACTCTTGTTGCCTGAGCTTTCTGTCCTGGCTGGTCCTGTGGCCTTTGATCCCCAAATAAACACACATGAAGGGGAAGTCCTGTGTATTTGTCAATAAAGCACTGTTGGCCAATAGCGAAGTAAGATAGGTGGGACTAGGAGTCGAGGAGGACTCTGGGTAGGAGAAACACAGGAAGTCGAGATGTAACGCCATGGAGTAGGAAGCCCGGAAACCTCTCCGGTAAGAGAAATACTTAGATTAGCAATTATGGGGTAATTACTTAAGTCAGAGCTAGCCAGTAAGAAACAAGCAAGGCCAACAGCTTCATAACTAATATAGCCTCCTGTGTGTTTATTTGGGGCTCATGCGGCTCTGGAATCAGGCTGGCAGGAAGGATTCTCTCAAGGAAAAGGCTTCTCTTTACACATACATACGCTGTATTAGTTATAAAACTTTTGGCTGATATCTTGGGATTCTTATTGGCTACCTCTGTCTTAATTATTAACCCGTTTCTATTAATCTATGTATTGCCACATGGTCTTATCTTACTGGAGAATGGTCTGGACCTCTATTTCCTTTGGTGGCTCACTTGATGACTATGCCGGTGGGCCCTCTCTGCCTGCCTTTCCCAGAATTCTCCTCGTCCTAATCCCACCTATCTTCCTGCCTCATTGGCCACAGTGTTTTATTCATCAATCATAAGAGAAACATATATACAGAAAGACTTCCCCCATCACAGTTTTTCCATGAGAACCCACATGCCCTCAATGTGTGCATTGTGAGTTCTAGGAGAGGGAAGAGAAGCAAAATGCATGTATTCGAGTATATTGAATGTATTCTCATTTTAAAATGACAACTTTTAAAAGGCTTCAGTTACACAGGTTCCGGTGGTGACCATTCACAGTACTGCTGCTAGGCGGCTAGGTCTTGCCCATGGCAATCTTTCTTTCTACATTTTATGCCTTAGATAGGCAATTGTTTCCTGTAAGAAAATAGGAAAGTGGTCCCCAAAGGCTGCAAAAAGTAAGTGATAGGAAAGGAAGGAAGGAAGGAAGGAAGGAAGGAAGGAAGGAAGGCTGGTGGTGGCACAGACCTTTAATCCCAGCACCCATGAGGCAGAGGCAGGCGGATCTCTGAGTTCAAGGCCAGCCTGGTCTACAAGGTGAGTTCCAGGACAGCGAAGACTAAATAGAGAAACCCTGTCTTGAAAAAGCAAAAGCAAAAAAATAAAAAAAATAAAAAAGAAGGAAGAGAAGAAAGGAGGAAGGGAGGGAGGGAGGGTTTGGAAGGCAGTGAGGTGTGCTAAAGAAATGAACAGACAAAACTGATTTCTAGTCTAGTCCCCAAGAGAGGCAGTACCAGGCTCATGTACTTGATTGACTGGATGTTTCAGTGATACACATACACAAATACCCAGTTAGTAATTGTGTTGGACGCCTTGCCGTCTCTTCAGCACCCTCAATGGAGATTTTTTTTTAAGTTAGAATTCTTGGTTTCATGATCAAACACAGAATGAGGCTACAGTTTTCCTCAGGTTTTGTTTTCTTGTTATTGCTTTTATGCCACCGGCCAGTGGGGTTGGCGCCTGTGTGGTGACATCTTTGGGCACCCTCCTTGTATTGTTTTTGATTTATTCTGTTTTCCCTCTCCGACTTTGTGAAACTGAGTACTTAGCTCGCTTTCCCTAGGCTCCCCACACCCCTCTTCTTTCCTGAAACGCTTGTTAGTTAAACTTGCCTTTGACCTTTGCCTCAGCTTCGTCCTGAAAGGACACATGAGAATCGCCTAGGATGCATTGCAATTCTGGATTGCTTCTGATACAGTTTCATTGATTTGCTGGGTGCCACCAATGTCCTGAACTCAGAGGGCATCACTAGCGGATAAGAAGGAAAGCACGTTGTGGAATTTTAGTAAGAAATATGTATAACACATTGATAAATCTTATTCTTTATAGAATAAGCCTTGGTGGAAGGGTTGTGGAAACAGTGGAGGTTGTGGTGGCTAAGAATTTCTGGGAACAAGAGCCACTTAAAGTCTTAAGATAAAAAATATCCAACAGAATGTACCCATTACAGTGAAATTTAAGGATATTGATGATGGGGGGGCAGAGAAGAGAAAACAATACACTTCCCAAGAAAGGGCGTGGCTCAGTCAACACCGAGAAAAGCCCCCCATGTGACCTCCACCAGCTCCGTCAGTCACTCTTGGCTCCCTGGTCTCATAGCAGTGTTCTTATATGGCCGCGGCCGCTGATACTGCTTTGTTTGTGATTCCACTTAAGCTATGAGGGAAGTGTTCACGGCTGCCCGGGCTTCCTGTACCTGCCACTGTCTCATCCCTCAGGGTTTGGGGACCACTAAGGACCCAGGGGCTGCAGCTGGTACAGAACGGCTGTTAGGTTCTGCTTTGATCAGTGTCCAGCCTGTTACTGTGGGGGAGCGTGGGGAGGAGTTGGTGTCTTTGTTCATCTGTAAGTTAAGGAAATAAAAGGCCCAGAAGCTCAACGGTGACAGGAAGCAGTGGAGGGATTCTCAAACACAGAGGACATGCTCAACAAGTAAAGAAAGGCTTTCATTAGAGGTGGGGAAAGACGCAGACCTGCTGCATGGAACTTCTTTTTTTTCTCTCTCAATATATTTTTTAATTTAAATTAGAAACATGAATGTTTCACATGTCAATCCCAGCTCCCTCTCCGACCCCTCCTCCCTTGTCCCTCCACCAGCCCTCCAAGCCCCCCACCCAATCCTCACATCATTCCCCAGGGAGGGTGAGGCCTTCCTTGGGGGGAGATCTCTAAAATCTGTCATTTCATTTCATCCAGGGCAGGACCTAGGCCCTTCCCCATGTGTCCAGGCTGAGAGAGCATCCCTCTATTTGGAATGGGCTCTCAGAGCTCATTCATAAACCATGGTAAACACTGATCTACTACTGCAGGCCCTAGTGATTTCTGTGGCCTCCTCCCTGGCACTACGAAGAAGTTCCAGACTCCATGAATGCACGGAACTTATTAAAAAGCCTTTGAAGGGTTTCCCTCCCTAATTTGGGGCTGGTTAGTTTGAACAAAGACAGGATGGCTGATTAGCCCTCAACTGTTATGTAAACATGTCTGATCAGTCTTGCCTTGCCAGCCCATGGGCCAGCAGGGGCAGCCTACTGCAGAGGGGAAAAAGCTTTTGTTCTCAGCCACTAGGCTTTTGCCTCAGGTCAGGGAGGTGGGAAGAAGCCAGCCATCTTGGAAATTCACCATCTTTATCTGTCTGGCTATCATGAAATCTATCTAAGACCTCATCTCTCAATCCTACCCACCTCCCTCTAATGTCTATGATCTTTAGAGGGTTGAAGTTAGGAAGAGACACCATAGGGTTTTCTGAAGAAAAAAAAAAAAAGAAAAGGAAACAAAAATAAACCAAAACTGGATTTTAGGAATATCAAGGCAGAATGTGTTTTCATGGAAAACACCCTTTTCATTTTAGAATGTAGGTACCACATCCGATTTAAATGGAAAGGAGCACTAGGGGGCTGGCCTCCCAAGAGAACAAGATGCAGCCTTGAGGAAAGGGTAGAGGACCAAGGAGGAGTCGGCTGGAGTTTGGGCCCTGATAAAGCTCCGGAGAATATTTATAACGCTGTTTCCTTGTCTTTTACCCCACCCCTGCATTGCTACAAAGGCAGAAATGCTCCCCCATGCCTAATTTCTGACTTAGGGATCAGATTCCATCTCACATGTGCCTCTGAGCTTTCTTCATGTTCTCCCTCTTTTAGAGTCAACCTACCGACACCAGGCAACCATCGATGATGAAGTTGTTTCTATGGAGATCCTAGATACCGCCGGCCAGGTGAATAAAAATTCAGCTAAGTATTTTTTGTATCAAATAAAAAAGAGACATGTATGATGATATGCATAACATTTTAAAAAAGCCAAAGAATTTTTCTGAGTGTGACTCTTACGTGCCTAAAACCTCATTCCTTCCATTATCTTGGCACTTTAGACATCAATGCATGTGTAATTATATCCTTGTGTGGATGACCCTGCTCTTCAAGAAGGTGCTAGAAATACAACACTCACAGACCATCTAGGGTAGACTTTCCCTCTGTATTTGGGGGGATGCCAGTGCATTCATGTGCTTTTACAGACAAACATGCTTTTGAAGTGCTCAATGAATTTAAATAAGCATCTCTATTGAAAAGAATTACTAATATCCTCATTGCAAGGTCTTTGAGAGAGCTCTCTGGTCTACACTGCCCTCCAAGTCTCTGTGACCACACCGAGGTTAGTTTGCATTTCACACTACAATGTGGAGATGCTTGCTTGCTAATCTAACTGGCAAATTTCCTGTGACATTAGTCAGATCAAGTCTTACAAAAGGTTTCATAGGCTCAGTTCCCAACTATAGAAATGCCTACAGGGGTGATGGTTAGCTGGCCAGGCATCTCCATGGAGCTGTAACAATGACCTGTGACCTCCAGGAAGACGTGAGGTAAAGTGTTTAGTCCAGGAATTGCTCCTGAAATGAATTATCCCCCTTTCCTTCTCATCAGTCCCCTTCTTGTGTGTGGACCTCTGCACAGTGCTGAGCACACCAAGAACAGAGGCCTCTGAAAGCAACTGAACCCGTGAAAACAATGCTTTCTTCTCTCTCCTTCCCTCTCATCTTGTCCTTTTCTTCTCCTCCTTCTTCCTCCTCCTCTGTCTCTCTTCCCACACACAAAGTCTTATCATCTCGCCACGTAGCCCAGGCTAGCCCTGAACATGACATCCTCTCACCTCTGCCTCCCAAGTACTAGGATCACAGGTCCATGAACCCCAAGACCCACCCAGCCATCTTTCAGACTGTGCCAGTGTTCTCCTCATGGAGAAGTCACCACTCTAACAGTCACTGCAGGAGGAGTTTCATCGTTACTACTACTGTATAACACAGATTGGGGCATCTGGGTGTGGGGGTGGGGACCCTAATCCTTAAATTTAAGCAGTGTACTCTGTACAGCATGTCACTGGTTTCCTTTTTTGTCTCTAGGGTTACCAATCCTCTATAATCAGAACAGAGAGGATGTTAAAACGGATGAGGGTGGTTTGTACTTACCTTCCAAACTGATTAAGAAAATAAGCTCGACCAGGAAAACAGCCAAGACATTTAATGATAAACAGATATGAGGAGGTGTAATTAAGGGATTATTATGGCAACAGCAGTGTACACATCGGGATTAGGTCCCGGTCTCCTGATTGTGCTCTTTCTTTGCTCACAGGAAGACACCATCCAGAGGGAAGGACACATGCGCTGGGGGGAAGGCTTCGTGCTAGTCTACGATATCACTGACCGAGGAAGCTTTGAAGAAGTGCTGCCGCTAAAGAACGTCTTAGACGAAGTCAAAAAGCCCAAAAACCTAACTCTCATCTTGGTCGGAAACAAGGCTGACTTGGACCACTCCAGGCAAGTGAGTACGGAAGAAGGGGAGAAGCTGGCTACAGAATTGGCTTGCGCATTTTATGAATGCTCCGCCTGCACGGGAGAAGGGAACATCACCGAGGTGTTCTATGAGCTCTGTCGCGAGGTGCGCCGCAGGAGGATGGTCCAAGGCAAGACGAGGCGACGCAGCTCCACCACACACGTCAAGCAAGCCATTAACAAGATGCTCACCAAAATCAGTAGTTAGAGGCCCTGCCAAGACGCGCTGAAAATTGAGAAGTTCTTCCTGGCTCTTCTTTTGCCCTTCCAAACACGAGCGAAATATTCTTCTCCTTGTTTTGACTTTGGGAAACGTCAGGGTTTCTCGTGGTTCCTGGTCAGCTGCGTGCTGGGCAGTTCCCCAGTGTCCTCGCGGTCCTGATGCTGTGACAGTCTCTCCCTTTCCTGCTTGCATAGGATCCGTGCTAATGTAGTTTGAAGATGTAACCACCAAGATGCTGAAGTTGCTGGATTGGCAGAAGCTAATTTTAGGCATCCCTGCCTTGCTTAAACACGTTGAAATCTTTTCAGAGGCATTTTAAGATTCTGTTTCTTGTAGGATACTGCAAAGGTCGCCATAGTGTTTTGGGATGTCTAGTGAGAATTTGAGAAGGGTAGCTGAGCAATTACAACGGAAATAGAACTCTAGTTACCATTCGAAGTAAGGATTTTTTTAAATTGCTATCTTACTTAAATTGTACAGTTTTTTCTTTAACCATTAATTTCATTTTTAGGTTGAAATGTTATCACTGATTTTATTTCGTAATGTAATTGTCCATTTCAATTCAAAATGGTTCTCTCAGTGATCTATATTGGTCCTTATATGCCCAATTCCATTATAATTTCCTTAGTAGCAGAAGAAACAAGACCCACAATTCACATTCTGCTGTGTCTTTGCCCCCCTGAAGCCTGGGTGACAGAAAACACCAGGAAACTTTGTATCAAAGCTTGAGGTCACTGCATGTTAGTAGAGGACTTAGAGTTAGCGACACCTGGTTTGCGTGTTACTCTAATAGCACTGTAGCAGGGAGAGAACCATCTAAATAAGAAAATTCTGCTACCTAGTTATTATTCCCTATTGGAAACCAAGTCTGAATCCTGTGCAGTCAGCAGAGTAAACCTCTGATACAATAAGTTGGCCACATACATCCTTAACCTTTAAGCCTTGGAAGAATTGGGGGAAAGAATGGGTGATTAAAATTCATTGTATCCGAACGACCATACAGAACATGGATGCTCAGTGGGTGAAAAAAAACTGTGTAACTGCCAAGAGTTTATGGCCCTTTCTCCATTTCCTGCCCCATATATTAAGATTTGGGCACTTTATTTTGGAAGAAAATATATATCTTTTACATATTACATATTTATATGTATACATGTAAGTGTGTATAAAATTTGTAAGCATTGGAGGCTTTCATTCACCAATGCATTTGAACAATCTGGTGTAACTGACTTTGTTTTATGTGACTATAATAAAAAGTATAATTTTCAAATTCTGTCAGAATTTTTTGTGGCTAGCTTGTAAGTTTAGGTGAGACCTGGGAAGCATTTGAATTGCCTAAGGGAAAGTCAATGAACCCGACTTGAAGAGAAATTAGCTCCTGCTAATAATAACAACTGCTACTTTTAGAGTACTCGAGGGTTATTTGGGGCACTTTGTTCATTTTCTCTCCCAATCGTCACAATTATCCTAAGACAGTAGTGCTGTGATAATCATGGCAGAGGTACAATGTCACCAAGCCAGATTGGTGTTTGGAGGGTAGAGCCAGAACATTGCCTGAGAGAGAGTCCAACTCTGGTCCACGCTGATAGCCCACTAGGCAGTTCTTAGCCTCGACTGCAAGCGTGAAGACACAAAATGAAGTGATTAAGGGAAACCTTGCCTTCTTTATCCTCACCCATTCACTGCAAATAGGTTTATATATGTCAATTATGTAATTTATATAGCCCACTTGATGGTATGTGACCCAAATTTTAAAAAATCTAAGAAAGATGGTCAAAATCTTCTAAGTAGTAGAAACAACATGAAATAAAAATATGGAGACAAGAATGTTAATGGTGAACACAGAGACCCAAAGGAGCTCAGAGGGCCACATATTATCATTTTTAGAGGAAGAAGGGATGGAAAAGTTGAAGGAAAGGATCAAAAGTGTGCAAAGACTAAGAACCAAGAAAGACATAAACAAAACCTCATATTCCATCAAAAATACCAATTAAAAACGAAGTGAGTAAATGCCACGGTGATTGTCTTCAGGACCATCCAAAGGGAAAGGAAACAGAGAAGTTACTGTTTGTAATTTCTAGGCCCAGTCTCTTTCATCCTCACATATCTTCACTAGGAAATGTAGTTCAGCCAACCCCCGCTAAAAATGACTCTTACGGGAGTGAAAACATGAATGTCGCTTTTGAGTTAAAATTAAGGAAGATGGAGCTGGAGAGATGACCCAACAGTTAAGAGTACGTGTTGCTCTTGCAGAGGAACCTGGTTTGACCCCCAGCAACCACATGAAGGTTCACAACTGCCTGTAATTCCAGTTCCAGGGGATCCAAATCTCTCTTCTGCCCTCCAGGGGTACTACACATATGTTGTATATGTATGTCCACCTGGCAAACACACAACACATAAAATACAATAAATAAAACAAAGCTAATGAAGTCAAGTGCACAGTCGGTGTGGTAACTATGATAGACATGTTTATGTAAATGCAGGCAAATATGAAAAGTCTATCTTTTAATTAAAGAGCATGAGCGGTCACCGTGCTAGCTCAGTTACTCCTCTCATATCCCAAGCTTCTCCACGAAGAAAAATGCTACCAGTTGTTTGAAAGGCCAGCTTTATTTTGATGAATGCTACCAACCTAAGCTTCATTTGCTATTGTAAAGATGACAATCTAATTCCACATCAAATGCATGCCATTCATGCAGCCACAACAGGGTGATAAGAGCCCTATTTACTTTTGCATCTCACACTACTAGAAAGAACTAGAAAAAGCATATGTATTAATTTTACTGACATTGAATAGTAAGCAATAAGGTACTAGTATTCCTGGATGTATGAAGAGTATCAAGGTGAATGCCAGTGACTGTACCAACTTAATGTCAAGTAACTGACTCAAACAAACAAACAAAAACCAGAGTATGGCTTCCAATGATAGAATAGATCCTGGGAGCTCACTGATAGAAAAATCAGAATTTGAGGAGGCCAAGTTCATCAGAGTCTGTGGCCCAAGAGGCCTGCTGAGGACTGACATGCAGACTCGGGCTGAAACAAAAGAGGAAAAAGGGTGCCACTGGGTTACTTTCCTCACCATCGTGGCCAACATACAGGAAGAAACAACGCCAGGGAGGGAGGGTTGATTTTTGGCTCATAGTTTAAGTGACTACCATCCGTAACAGCAGGGAATGCAACTGGGAATTGTTCCCATCTGGACCTCAGCCCTTGGGATGGCACTGCCTACATTCAGTGTGTCTCTTCCTCAGTTGGTCCTTTCTTAATCTTCTCTGGGGACTCCGGCATTGCTGGCAGGAACTCACCAAGAGGGATGCCCTTGGTGCTCCTTGATCCAATCAAGTTAATGGTGCACATTAACCAGAACAAGAGCAGAGCATCGGCATATGCAGGACTGGAAACAGTTCACGTTCACATCAGGACCTGATAGTGCACAAACAATACACAGGAGCTTAGAAAACCATTGTGCCGATACACAGGGAGTTAGAAGAATGTCGTGCTGGCTGTGGGTCTAAATTACTCCTCACCGCTCACTACTAAAGCTTTAAAGTGTGAAGCTGGTCAGACTGAATCCAGATAACCTTGTTGTTGTTGCTGTTGTTCTAGAAAACTATCCAGCATCCTATTACAAAAGTATACAAGCAAATTCTGTGTTTGACAAACTTGAAACTCAAGATGGCTCATATCTGGTTTTAAATTCTCTGCACAAAGAGGCAAAAAAATGTGACCTAGAAATAGGATTAAAACCCAGTCAATAGAAACAGACCAAGGTGAGGGAAGCTGTCACTATCAAGCAAGGAAATTAAGACAGCTTTACAGATAGATGTGCCCCGTGTCTTCACAGAGTTAAAGAAAGGTCTGAGCATAGCAGGGACAGATGAAAAGGAGCAGCATGAGATGAAAGTGACTTCCACCTGAAAAGATAAAGGACTGAGTTCAGCTGTCATCAGACTGATGCTGAAGAAACGCCAAAGAGATGGCTAAGCAATTGAAACAGCTGGAATGAAACAACGAGGAAGAAAGGTAATTGACCACAGATAGACTCTTAGAGAAAAGCAAGCAGAGCAACACATGATAAGATTAAACTCCCAGAAGTCAAGGAGACTAACGGTGGGACAAAAACTAGTAGCAGGCGGGAGACAAGGCTCGGTGGTTAAGAGCACTGAGTGCTCTTCCAGAGGACCCAGGTTTGACTCCCAGCACCCACGTGGTGTCTCACAACTGTCTGTAATTCTAGTTCCATGGAATCCCACATCCTATTTTAACTTCTGGGAGCACCAGGAACACAAGTGGTGCATAGACATAGATGCAGGCACAGCTCACACAGGTAAAATAATTTAACAAAAAAATTTAATAAGAAATAATTGAAAAGATAATCACTGAGAAAAAAACAGCATTTAAACTTTATCTAAAAAACTCACAAGATTCCAGGAGTGAAATACTCAAAGATACTAATAACATAATTGTTTAAATCAAATTAATAAAGACAATAAGCAGAAATTTTTAATAGAAATTGAGTGGGCAGGAGATACACATTACCTACAGAGGACCGAGGTAGGAATAATGGGCACATGGGAGAAGATTAGAGTGGAATATTTTATTTAAACTATTGGAAGAAAAAATATTGCTTAGAATGACATTACAAGTTAAAGTATTTTTCACCAACAAAGGTGAGGAACAAGACCAAAGCGAATTCACTGTGGACAGGGTTAGTCTATCAGGAAAGTTAAAGGGTGTGCTAAGCAGGAAGAGAATACTCCAAAGGCAATGAATATCACAGAAAAAAACGAACTGTACTGGAAATGCAGTTTCTCTTTGTCCCAGTGTCTTTTCTGTGGCTGTAATAAAATATTCAGCCAAAAAGCAGCTTAAGGGAGATTTCAAGTTAAATGCCATTATAGTGGGGAAGTCAAGGCAGCAAGAGCAGGAAGTGGTTAGTCACATGACATCCACCGGCAGGAGCAGAGAGAAATCAATGCATGCATTTGAGGTGCTAAACTCTCTTTCTCTGCTCATAGAGCCCAGGGCCTCAACTCTGCGGAATAGTGCCACCCACCCAACAGGCAGGGACATCTCATAGCAATTAAGGAGATCAAGACAACCCCTGTAGACATGCCCTCGGGTCAGCTTGATCTAGCCAATCCTTTACTAAGACTCTGCGAGCAGGTGGAGATTTCTAGGTTGATTCAAACTGAAAATTAAAATGAGCCATCACAATGTCCATGCTCAGAGCTGAGAGGCCCAGTGGCAGCTTCTGTTCACTGAGGGCTCCAGACAGATATGAGGCCAACCTCATGACAACTGCTTGAAAGAATGGTTCCTCGTAGGTTGTCATCTTACATCTTTCTGATCCCCTGTGCTGAAAATAACTTTCCTTATTCTATGAAGGAGCTCTGTGTGTGTGTGTGTGTGTGTGTGTGTGTGTGTGTGTGTGTGTGTGTGTGTGCATGCGTGTATGTGTGAGGGGTTGTGTGCCTGTGTGTATATGTGTGTCTGTGTTGTATGCATGTGTGTTATAGGTGCACTCACTGGTGTGTGCTGGTTTGCAGGCCAGAGGTCGATGACAAATATCTTCTTCTATTATATCCACTTATTTTTTGAGGCAGTGTTTCTCACTAAATCTGAAGCTGAACATTTTAGTTGCAAAGAGTGGCCAGTGGACTCCTAAGATCCCCTAGTCTTCACTCCTCAGTACTGGGGTGTCTGGTGCTGTGATTGCTTGAATGAGGATGGCCCCCACAGGCTCATATGTTTGAATGCTTGACCCTGCATTATCGGGACTATACTGGCAGGATTGGGAGGTATGGCTTTGTTGGAGAAGATGTGCCACAGGGGTGGGCTAGGCGTTTCAACAGTCCAACCCAGGCCCAGTCTCACTTCCTCTCTACCTACAACTTCCGGCTGAGATGTTAACCCCAATGTGAGACCTGCCTACCTTCTACCACGGCCTCCCACATGATGATAATGAACTAACCCTCTGAAACTGTTTGCCTTGGTCTTGGTGTCTCTTTACAACAACAGGAGTGACTAAGATGGATGTATACCCCGTGCCCAGATTTTGTTTACTATGTGAGTGCAAGAACTCCTATCTCAGGTCCTCATGCTTGAACAGAGACCATTTTATACATGGAGCCATCTCTCCAACCCCAAGGAAGATTTGAAGGATAAAGGTCACCACTGTAACCTAGTGAGGTTCTTGATGAGGGCTACAGGGTGTTCCTCCATGAGAGCCAGCAACATAGTCATGAAACCTTTCATCTTGTC